TTCACGTCTTCTCCTTCCCCCTCCCCCCCACCCCCTCCTCGTCGTTCTTCCTCGGACGCCGCTTCGTTTACCTGACGCCCTCGTAAAAATTGCTAGAAGCACGCAAAATTTCATCCTCCCTCGAGGAGCCCATCATCTATTGGCAATTCTTCGAATACGAGACGATGCCATAAATCAAGGCCACCGTTGACGAATCATTCCTCTTTTTCACTAGTTCAACGCACAACCAACCCCGCTCTTCCTTCCCTTCCACCACCACACGGATGTCCCGGAGACGTCGAAATAAAATCGTTGGAAACTCGTTATGATGTATTTCCGTATATACACATATACAAGACTGATATTTCTTTCTTTCTTTATTTCTTTCTACTTTTTCTTCTTCTTCTTCGTTTTATTCTAAACGATAAATGCGTTTCTCTAACAAACGAATGAAAATTGCGACGAAGCGAGAAAACTTTCGTGAACATTGGATAAAATTCGATAAAATAAACTCAACGAATTGGACCGAGAGTTTATTTAACGTGAAAAAACGTTGCCAAACATTTTCATTTATTCATACCATCATCCCTCCCCAAAGTTTTTCTCTCTCGATGTCTTTTACGTCTCATTCTCTCTCTCTCTCTCTCTCTCTCTCTCTCTCTCTCTCTCTCTCAAATATATATATATATATATCTCGTTCACATAAAATTAACATAAAATGTATGTTTCCTTCTCCTCCTCTTCTACATTTTATTATTTATCTTACTAACGGGATCTACGTTCTCACCTTTCCAATTAATATTTCCTTTCGTTAAACGATTTTAATTGAAAATTAATTAAAACAAAGATTACGTTGTAAGTATGCGATAACGGTTTAAAACATTGAGTTATGTATGACAAAGCGTAATTTCAATTTCATCGTAACGTTACCTGCACAATCGCAAAATAATGTCCTTCTGTTGCGCAAATAGTCAAAGAGAGAGGGATAGAGAGAGAGAGAGAGAGAGAGAGAGAGAGAGAGAGAGAGAAAGAGAGAGAAAGACTCTACTGCAATTTGTATTAACGAACATCCATTTCCATGTGTATGCACACACATACACACACACACATATACGTAAGACGTGAGAAAGCCATGGTGTTCCTGATGGATAGGAACTTTAATGAAGTAATGTCGGTACTTCGTTAGACCGCAAGATCGGTTAAACGCGCCCAAATTATTACGATATGCACTCGCGAGTGCATTCCGAGTTAAAACGGTTGCTATGAACGTTAGAGGCGCGTTAACGAAGACGCAATAAACCGAAAGAAAATGCCGAATATAATTCTTGGTCGGTGGTTGGTTGGTTGGTTGGTTAGTTGGTGCAAAAGGAACCTTATATGTACCGTGATTAAAACATTAAAGGTAATACCATCGAGCATAAACAGGCCAACGAAGTCGTAACGCGCGTTAATTTACAATGCTCCCCCGTTAATTGCGAACAAATGGCCAAAGGGTAATAAAAAGAGCAGGACGTCGAAATAATCCGCGTTTAAATAGTGCGGAACGATCGCTTTCCACCGTTGGAATTCGTCTCAATTTACCGAGTGAAGAGATATTGAAACACGGAAAAGAAACTCTCGAAGTGGTATAACCCCCCTATAAACCCTTCGATAAGAAGAATGATACTTTTTTTCCCAAGCGCCCCATCTTTTCTTAACTCTTTCCTTCTCTTATATTTCCTTCCCCCACCTCCACCCTCACCCCACCGTTCTCATTTCTTCTCTCTTTCTTTCTCTTATTACTACCAGAGTGGAGTCTGGTTCCGCTCGAACGCGATAGTTATTAGCCGACGTTGTCCTCGACTTCTTTAGCACCGTCGTCCAATAACGGGTCAACCTTGACGCCACTATCAATCACTCTTTTTCTACACTACTTTCGGAAAACGATCCATCTGCGAACGCACCCACACCCACACTTCCCCTCCCCTCTCACTCCTTAAGCGGACATCCTTTATCGACCCCTCTTCTCTAACTTCTTTACCATAAATTCGGCTAACACCGAAGTGTCTCTCCGGCTTGGGTGTTATCGCAATATCCCTAGACCAAACTAGTAAATATTTGTCAAGAATTTTATCCCGGGTTTGCCCGAAGATCTTGTGCCGAGCGATTAGGTACTCGGAAAAAAGATAAAAAAAAAAAAGACTCTACTACTCCGTTCCTCTCTATGGAAAAGAAGATGGGAAACGGGACGTGGTAAAGAGAAAATGAAACCTAAAAAAGAAGAAAAAAAAAAAAAAGAAACAAAGAACGTGACGTTCAACGTTCGACGACGGTCGATCCTTTAACGCGCGTTCAACGCCAAAAGGGAAGCGAGACGAGCACGGTGGTACTCTTCTTCTCTACGGGGAAAATTTATAGCCTTGACGACGTAAATCCTAGGCATTTTGGTACAGCAGAAAACTGTATCGAATGTCGGACAAAATTGCGGAAACAATATATTCGTCGAACGACTGGATGAATAAACGGCCATGACTATCGATTTTCACAGATCGATAGACAGCCAGCTCTACGGTTTCGTTTGCCTTCAAATTCCCCCTCCCCCCAACCCCATCCTCATCACCCCTTCTGGACCAAAGTCCTCCATGCTATTCGTATCCATTCTCCTCCCACTCTAACTCCTATCTACCCTTATACCATCACCCACGCCCCCTCTCCACCTCTCCCCCCTAACCACCTACCCACCTCACCCAACTCTCTCCGTCGCGGATCCCGAATATCGTTTATTGGTTTCGTTCTAAAAACAATGCCTTTACGCGTGCCGTGTTTCCATACACGTCGGGATTCATCCGTATACTCCCTAAAATTGCGAAAAAGGAGAGATATATACATATATATATGTATATGTATGTGTGTGTGTACGTATGTATGTATATATCGCCCGTAGCGTAGTTTTATAACGACGTCATTGCGCCGTGAACAAATAAAAGCACTTCGTTGTAAACGAGCTGGGAACGGCCGCAGAATTCTTTACGCCGCGATAAAACCTTTCGCGCGGATATAATGCGAAAACCGATAACGCGAGTCTCGGGCTAGAAAAAGCGTACGCATCAGCGACGTAATCACGGGTGAACGACAGAGAGAGAGAGAGAGAGAGAGAGAGAGCTAAGATTTTACGATCAATCATCATCATTCAAACCATCGGAAGACGACTTTACCCCGAGTCTTCGATTTTCTAACGAAACAACCAACGCTCGGATTCATTTTGCGCGACATTTAGAGAATCGTTCGAATGGATAATTTGTTCGATAATTATCTTGTAAAAAAACAAACGAGACTCCTAGAAACTGTCGTAACGGTTTTTTTTTTATTGAACTTTCCCTATAATATATCTGTTTGACTCGACGAAGATATCAATGATCGAAATTTGTATTGATCTGAATGAAATACTGGTTGGTTATCGATATAATTTTCTTCGAGTAGTCTATGGAAAAATACGCAGTTCATTCTTCCATTAACAAACAAAGACAAATTCGTCAAAACATCTATCGAGTGATTTCCATTTCTATATGGGTAGAAGGAAAGGAGAGTGTAAAAAAGAGAGTGAAAGAGAGAGAAATATAGTAGAAGGGTAGAGGAAGTTCGGCAAGAGGATTTTCGTGCACGGGGCAGAATGTAAAGGAGAAAAGAAAAAAAAGAAAAGGAGGAAATATTTTTATTCACCGTGGGACCCACCTTGGTTTCCCTTCAGGCAAGTAAAGTACGATATACGCGAAGTCAAGGACGTGGCTTTTGGTATATAAACTCCAAAATCGTATTACAGACCGAAATATTACATCCAAAGGAGCCAACGGGAGAGATAAGGTCTAACAGATTTTCATGCTCCAAGGGCGCAACGCGAACTACTTTACTACTACTCGGTGTTTAAAAAAGAAAAAAAAAAAAAAAAAAAAAAAAAGAAAACGGAAAGCAACGAGTAATATCTTAAAGTTGATGCACTGAGAAATTCGGAAACATTTTAACAACGTAAATAGTGATTAAAGTAAAGAGAGAAAAAAAAAAGGGCCTTCGAGAGACATGCTTGAACTACTCGCCGAGGCAAATTATAACGAAGTTTACACACCGATGTCGATGTTCAACGTCGATAACGAACTCGCTATATTGAAAATCTTTTTTTTTTTATATATATAAATTCTACACAAATTTTCGCGGCGAAACGATTCACGACTTATTTTCCTTGTTCTTTTTCTTATCCAGGAAAGAAGAACTCGTTCTCGCGGAAGGGCATTAGTTTCGTGTCAATAATTTATCGTAATGAGGAATGCACACGGGGGTGTGCAAAAGAAAAGAAAAGAAAATAAAAGAAAAAATGTTCAACGCAAGAGAATTCAGTCCAGGCCTGGTGTACCACGATCGTTACTGTGTCGTACAAATTATTTTATACAGAAAAAGAGAAAGAATAAAAGACAAAAAGAAAAAAAGAAAACGTATAATAAAGTAAAAAAGAAAAGTTAGATCGAAGGATACAAAAAAAGGAGAAGACTGGCCAGCGTATGGTGAGTTTAGTTAAGTTAGAATTAAATGGAATGGTATAACTACGTATGGAACACGCGAAGAATGGTAGGACACAAAGCAGCAGCAAGAGATAGAGACGAAAAGTCAAAATGAGGGAGAGAGAGAGAGAGAGAGAGAGAGAGAAGGAAAATTCGTAGGAGGTGGATCGCACAAGCACCGACAACTCCTCGTAGACTCCCTAGGGAAGGTTAGAGAGACGCTATCGGCTACTCCATTGCTCATCACAACGTACCAGAGACCGAACCCGAACAAAGCTCTCGAGCAATGCTTTTCTTACGGATCTCTAATCTGGCTTAGAGAGGAGAGCCGGTTCTCTCGTTGCTCCTATTACTACTACCACTACTACTAGTATTACTACTAATACTATTACTACTACTACTACTACTATTACAACTCTATCCTCTTTCCCCCTTGTTCCATTCTCTTTCTCTCTCTCTCTTACTCTTACTCTTTCTCGCCTACCTTGTTCCTTCTCGTCCGACCAATTTACGTTGGCAAGAGCGACATCATCCGGATGGGACGGAACGATATCTCTAATAACGTGCACGACGATCGTAGTCCAAGCGATGTTTCGCATCTACTCTATTCTACTCTACTCTACTCTACTCTACTATCATCTAACCTACGTGCGATTACCATTGTGTGAACGATCCAACGCGTATACTACGTGGGACTCCGACTAAACCAGAGGAGATCGGAGTATCCGGAGAAGATCGAGAAACGGAGGTGGGTATGTAACCGGTACGATCGTACAAAGCATCTTGCCGAGGGTAAAGACAATCGTCGACGGTCTCTCTCTCTCTTTGTCTCCTTCTCTCTCTTTCTACGTTTCCTTTCGAGAGACAAGAAATCCGAATGTTTCGAGAGTGGAAGATCGCGTAGTCACGTATTATAGATAATGAAAATGGTCGAATAAGAAAAGGTATTAAAAGAAACTCCGAATTAGTTTCCTATCGAATTAAGAAAAACAATTTTAATCTTATTGTTAGATTCTCTAACGATCCTTGTCGTTAAATTCCTCTCTTTTTTTCTTCTTCTCTTATAACAAAATTAAGAATGTTTGAGAAGAAGGAAAAAATAAAAGGATTGAGAAATTTGTCGTAGATAAGAGTAGAGGAGTAAAGGCCGAGAAATAATACGTCTGGAAGAAAATCATTCAAGTTACGAGACTCGTACGATATAAACCTTCCCCCCCCCCCACTTCCTCTTAGATCTACGTAACTGCGTAACAAATACTCAATGTCATTTGTAATTTGCACGATGATTTTAATTAACTTGATTTAAATTGCCGAGTACACGGGACCAAGCCGATAACATCGACGAGGGATGGCGAGGGCGGACACGCGCCTTGTTCTCTCTCTCTCTCTCTCTCTCTCTCTCTCTCTCTCTC